CCGACAGGCAGGAAGACTCGAGCACACAGCTCGTACTTCATTATAATATATAAAAAAAGAACACCATGCGTGTCATGATGGCACATAACAGCTCACGGCCGCAGATTACTCCGGGTCCCAGCCCCCCCCATACCCCAAAAATATTTTTATTGCAGATCTACATGAATCACACAAACGACTTATTTTGGATTCAAAATGGCGATTTTCGCCAAAAGGTGACAAGTTTGCATCACTGATGTTATCAGGGATTTGATTGGAGAAAACATTTCCATTATATTCTTCAGTTATTTTTTGAAGGACATTTTGTTTTTAGTAACCAATGCCTTTACTATAGTGACATATTTAAAAAAAAAAGGGGGAAACAGAGGGGATGACCTGGGAAAAATAGTCCACTCCACTGAGCGGAGGGACACAGCGCTGAAGAGCAAGTGAGCATTGAGGAATGTGCAAGCGAGGACAGTGGATTCCCCTTGTGGCTCAGGCCCTCTCGCGCCGTCAACTGTCTCCCCAAAATATCTGCCCCCCCCCCTGGGCGTGCGGCCACCGTCCCCACTGCCCCCCCTCTGCCCCTCATGCCTGTCCTTGTCTGCACACACACACTGACCAGAGTTCCTGAGTCTGCGTCCAGCGTGTACGAGGAGTTGAAGAACTTGAGGCTGGTCTTGTGATCGTCGGGGACCTCCTCCTTGTTCTTGAACCACTGGTAATGAGACTTGGGGAAACCCTCCTCCTCCACACAGCTCAGCTCAGCAGACTTCCCAAAAGGCACTGACTTTGGGACGCTGCATTTTGGCATCACAGGTTTTACTGGGGAGAGACCGAACGTGGGGATTGTAAATATACTTAAACATGACATCACATTTTGCTGTTATCCAAAGCGACTTACAATAAGTGCATTACAGTACAAACTGGAAAAGCTGGGAGCAGGTTCTTTAGCTCTCGATAAGTCAAACCATTGTAAGAGCTACTGCATTAGCTTCAACTAAGCCACATATCTCATATCTCTGTGCTGAAGTGTATCTTGGCTTTCATTTTGGCCAAGGTACAAGCAAAACTTTAGTCTCCAATGGAAGATATGTAGATTTTCTGCTGTCATGATATCAGATGTGGGAGAAGTACTTATACTTATCCATTTCAGAATAATATATATGATATGTTTTATAATGATTGATCATTAAAGTGTTCTCAAAGCTGGTAAAGGTGCAGCTAGTTTGAATGACTTTATATACTGCAGGGTAGCTTGTGGATTTACTCCAGGTGGAACTACAGTCTGATTTAAGACTTGTTTCTATTTCACATCATTCATCCAGATCTGGCAAAGTAAAACTAAAAGATATTAAATATATGTAGCGGAGTAAAAGTACAGTATTAACCTCTGAATTGTAGTGGGATAGAAGTACAAAGTAGCAAAAAATGTACTCATTGATACATAATACTCAAGTTAAGTACAAGTCTCTCAAACTTGAGTAAATATACTCAGTTACATGATATCAATGGTGAGCTGTTCCACCATGTTGAAGCGAGGACAGCAAACAGACCTGTGCTTGTTTAAGGGAACCTGGGTCCAACCTGCTCATGTTCGCTAAGGATCACAGTGATAACAAACATTCCTTCATGATGCTGCTAGCTCTATGATTGACTTTGATGCTATAAAAAAAACAATGTCACCCCGGTCTCTACGGTTCACTGCACTAACAGCATCGACAGGACCGGACAGGAACATGATTTCCGTCCCGTGCCAAAAAACGCCACCAAAACACGCAGCGCTTGCTTTCTTTAGCACTGCGATTCAGAGCAGATGCAGTTTCAGAGGTTTCCTCTTATAGCACGGAACACGCCTTTGCAGCAGGGCAGGTCTGCTCATAACACATCCTCATATGTATGCCAATGGGTTGGTGCGACCTACAACACGCTCTCATCTTACAGCATCCAACGTGTGAATCACTGAGCAAGGTCTCTCTTTAAGGGCACCATAATGGCTGCTTTCTGCATTTAGAACAATCCTTATCATAATTAACTATAAATGAAACAAGCTGATGAGGCCGGAATGTTCCAGTACCTCGTACAATAAGGTCAATCACGATCTCATCGAAGGACCTCTGGTCATCAGCAGCGGTGACCTCACAGCGGTATTTGGCTGTGTCCGATCTGGTGGCGTTGGTGATGAGCAGCGTGGCGGGTTCTCTGATCATTGCTCGGTTCTCCAGGTCGCCTGTTTGTGGAAAATCATGTTCAACAATGTCAGCAATTAATGTGTACACTGAAAAAACTGAAATGTTGACTTTGATTAAATGTATTATGTCTCAAGATTTCAAATAACTGTATTAGGTCAGTTGAAATAACAAATATTATTGTCAACTTAATATTATCGCTTTGAACTAAGCTTAAACAGTAATGTGACATTTGTGGACATGAAACACTTAAAGTCATTGTTTCAGGTATTTCAGTGTAGAAAACAGCAGAAAATACTTGTTTGTTGTTTGCATTTTGTTCATTACCGGAGATTTTCTTGTCAAAGTACACATAACTTGGTCCCTCGTTCGTTATTTTCTTCCATTCGATCCTGGGGTTGGATGTAGAAATGGACTCAATCAAACAAGATAACTCGATTCCTGAGAAAAGGGAGTGACACATCAGGATATGAATGCAAGTGAAAAACTGATTTGACTGTATTTGATCTTTTTGTGATTGGGGTATTGTTCGTCAGCTCTTACTGTCGAACTCATTGGTCCACGGTGCTTTGTTGCTGGTTTTCAGCACGACTGCTAATACGCTGAAGTAGCCTGTAACAAAAAAAGAAGAGGAACATGAATTTTCATGATACAGTGATGATGTCATACGATATGCACAATACCAGCTGCCATCCAGTGATGTGCTGGACTTATTTTAACACTACCCCTTAAGGAAGTTGGTTGCATGTTCACTTATCTTAGATTTCATTGACACATTGAGGATAAATGTCAATCCCACATCAGTGTGATGGTATTATGTGATGATGTGTTCTCTTCAGTCATGTTCTGTTACCGCCTATCTTCCATTTTTAGTTGTGTTGGTCCAACCATTGTGTGAGTGTCTGTCTGTGTGTGTGTGTGTGTGTGTGTGTGTGTGTGTGTATCAACCCCAGCTGGGCAGACATTTAC